GGGGGGGAGTCAGGAGGGGAGTTACTTGCTGCAGGATTCCCAGCCTCTGACCTGCTCTTGTAGCTGCTGTGTTTATGTGGGGCTGGTCCTGTTCAGTTTCTGGTGAACAGTAACCCCCAGGTTGTTGATAGTGAGGGAAGGGGGAACGGGATTCGGTGATTGTAATGCCATTGAATGTCATGACCTCATAGAATCTGAGTTCTCAGATTGGGGCTGATAACCTGGTCCAATCAGGGAGCCCTGGCTGATGGATTTACACAGGACTGTCAGACATCTTGTTCACTCTGGGAGCTGGCTTTGATGGAGCTGTGTCAGTGTCGAGGACTCTCCACGTGTGTAAATAAGGGGTGACTTGGTGACAGGCCCCTGTGAACTTATTTCACAACTCTTTCCTCTTCTATCCCGTACTAAACAGCAAACATTGAATTAACTTGCGAGAGGGGTTTGTATCTGTGTTTCCCAAAGGGTTTCTCTTATCCAAAATCTGTGAGAGCACGGCATAATATTTCTTGCTTTTTTTTTAAGAAGATCCCATTGTGTGATGTTTTTTTAAAAATATATGAGACACTTTATTATTTTATCCGGTTGCTGTCAGTACGAAGGCCTCAACTCTGACCGCTCCTGTGGAACAATCCACTTCGGCCATTTTTATGTCAACTAAAGACCACAGGCGGCCATTTTGTGCTAGCTAGGATACCCTGGGCAGCCCTAATCAAGGGAAGGGAGTAATAAGAGCGTGCGTAGTAAAAGAAATATGTCTAGGGGAGGAATATGAAGCTGCCTTTAAAGATTTTCTGAACTGACCTTCCGTTTCTCTTCATGCAGGTTCCCCTCTGTTTCCCCTTTGGAGGCCAGCTGACCTCCAGTGAGCTGCAGAGGCCTAGCGGAAGTGAGGAGCCTTTGGCCTCTGGTAGTCAAGAAGCAGGTAGGTGTCAGACTCACCCTCCTAACCTCACCCCCGGTTTTTCCTTCATCATTTCAATGCAGTTGCCTCTCTCTGTACCGCCCTCGAATAATTCCCTCTGTGTTTCTCAAAGGTGCTTATGCCACACTGGTGTCTGAGGTGACATCACCGTCTGACACCCGGGACCCTTTGGTGAGCGAAATCCTCGGGAATCGGCCTACACAACACGCCTCCCTCGAGCCTCGAGATTCGATCCAGGGCTGGGATTCAGAGTGCGTGAGATCTGACCCCATTACTGCTGACGGGAAGGACTGGACCACAGGCGGGGACCCAGGCCTGACTCCGAACTCTATGGATCCGGTGGTGGGCATGACAGCAGGGAGTGGGGAAGGAGCCGCCTTGGACGACGAGGAGGAAGACCAGGAATCGGATGGATCGGGCCGAGAGGAAGCGGAAGAGGATGGAAAGGAAGAAACCGGAGGAATCCTCGCTGAAAAGTAAGGAATCTCTGGGCCGGACAGCGCTTGGAGAAACTCTTCGGGAAGAGAGAGAGAGAAACTGAGTTCATATTTGGAGTCCAATTTCATTCAAACGTACAGAATACTGAGAGGCCTGGATAGAGTGGATGGGGAGAAGATGTTTCCACTCAGTAGGAGAGACTAGGACCTGAGGGCACAGCCTCAGGGTGAAGGGACGGCCCTTTAGAACTGAGATGAGGAGGAATTTCTTCACCCAGAGGGAGGTGAATCTGTGAAACTCATTACTGCAGAGGGCTGTGGGGGCCAAGTCATTGAGTGTCTTCAAGACAGAGATAGAGAGGGTCATGATGAGTGAGGGGGGTCAAGGGGTACAGGGAGAGGGCAGGAGAGTGGGGTTGAGAAATATGTCAGCCATGATGGAATGGGAGAGCAGCCTCGATGGGCCAAATGCCCTAATTCTGCTCCTATGTCGTACGGTCTTAAGGTCAATAGGAGCGATCTTCGACAAAGAAGATTTGTCAGACTCTGTTTCTCTCTCTGTGGCAGTTTCCCCAGCGCTTTCTGTTTTAATCTCTCCAGCATCCGTGGTACCCATACTATTCCTTGGGACTGTCGGGTGTGTGTGAGTCTGTGTGTGTGTGTGAAACTGTCTGTGTGACTGTGTGTGAGAGAGTCTGTGTGTGTCTGTGCGACTGTGTGTATGTGAAACTGTCTGTGTGACTGTGTGTGAGAGAGTCTGTGTGTGTGTATTTGTGCCTCTGACCTGCTCCTGTAGTTGCTGTGTTTATGTGGGGCTGGTCCTGTTCAGTTTCTGGTCAATGGTAGCCCCCAGGATGCTGATAGTTGGGGGGAAGGGAGTCAATGATGGTAACACCATTGAATGTCAAGGGGGCGATGGTTATATTGTCTCTTGTTGGAGATGGTCAGAGCCTGGCATTTGTGTGGCGCGAATGAGCCTACAGTTGGTAGACCAGTTTTGTTCCCTACAGAAGCAAAATATTTACACGTAATAAGGTGCTGCATGTGCTCAACGTTTATACACAGCAACCTTGCCTGATCAGATAAGGTTAATGTTTTGGCTCACTGAGCTTCGAACAACACCCTTCTGTTCAAAGACAGCATCAATCTTCCCTTGCTTCTCTGCAGATGCCGTTCCTTCTGTATCCCACTGTGCAGCCCTGATTTCCGTATCCTTACTACTAGCCCCCAGCTGAGCAGGCTGCTTCATCAATGACCTTCCCTCCATCATAAGGTCAGGAGTGGGGGATGTTCGCACCATGTTCAGCACCATTCGGGACTCCTCAGATACTGAAGCAGTCCACGTTCAAATGCCACAAGATTTGGACAATATCCAGGTTCGGGCTGACAAGTGGCAAGTGACATTCGCGCCACACAAATGCCAGGCTATGCCCATCTCCAACAGGAGAGAATCTAACCACCGCCCCCTTAACATTCAATGGTGTCCCCCCACTATCAACATCCTGGGGGTTACCATTGACCAGAAACTCAACTGGACTCACCACACAAACACAGCGGCTACAGGAGCAGGTCAGAGGCTGGGAATCCTGCAGCGAGTAACTCCCCTCCTGACTCTCCCCCCAAAGCCTGTCCCACCATCGACAAGGCACAAGTCAGGAGTGGGATGGAATACCCCCCACTTGCCCCGGATGGGGGTAGCTCCAACAACACTTGAGAAGCTCGACACCATCCAGGGACAAAGCATCCCCCCGTTCGATTGACCCCACATCCACAAACATCCCACTCCCCCCACCACCGACTCTCAGTAACAGCAGTGTGTACCATCTACAAGATGCACTGCAGCAACTCACCGAGGCCCCTCAGACAGCATCTTCCAAACCCACGACCCACTTCCATCCAGAAGGACAAGGGGCAGCAGGTACATGGGAACACCACCCCCTGCAAGTTCATCCTCCGAGCCCCTCACCGTCTCTGACTTGGGAAATATATCGGCCGTTGCTTCAGAGTCAAAATCCTGGAATTCCTCCCACCCCCAATAGGGGTCGACCCACAGGAAGGCAGCTCACCCCCACTTTCTCAAGGGGGGCAACTGGGGGCAAACAGGGTAATAAATGCTGGGCCCAGCCCATGACGCCCACATCCCACAAAGGAATTAAAACATAAACAAAAACGGCCCAGGAATAAAATGAAGGAGGCCGAAGGGTCACATAATAGACAACTTCAAAGTTCTGAAAGGTTTTGATGGAGGGAATGTGAAGAGACTGTTTCCTCTCGCGGGCGAGAGTCTAACTAATGGCCGTTTCACAGAACATAAGCGCACAGGAAATCTGTTCGGAAATTCCGAGAATTCTTCGGTCTCTGGGGAGCGGGGAGAATGCGGAGCTCGCTTGCACAGAAGTGAATCGTGTTGATGTGTTTGAGGGGAGGGGAGAGAGATCTGTGAGGATGAAGGGGGATAGAGTGGAAGTTGGCCATTCAGCCCCTTGAGCTGGCTCCCCCATGCAATACTATCACGGCTGATCTCACCTCGGACACTTTCCTGTCCACTCCCTTTAACCTGTGACTGATTAAAAGCCTTATCTCCTCCTTAAATTTACTCATTGTCGCAGGATCCGCTGCGGTCTGGGGCAGTGAATTATCCTCAAGAAGTAATTTCTCCTCATTCCTGTTTCAAATGTGCCCAACCCCCTTATCCTAAAACCCCTCGTGAGGAAACATTCGCTATATGTCTACTTGGTCAATCCCCTTTAGTGTCTTCTGGAGCCACAAACAGGCCCTTCGGCCCAACCAGTCCATGCTGACCATAATCCCAAGCTAAACTAGTTCCACTTGCCTGCTCCTGGCCCATATCTCCCCAAACCTTTTCTATTCATGTACTTATCCAAATGTCTTTTAAACATTGTAACTGAACCCACATCCACCACTTCCTCTGGAAGTTCATTCCACACATGAACCACACTCAGTGTAAAAAAAATTGCCCCTCACGTCTATTTCAAATCTCTCACCTTAAAAATGTGTCCCCTAGTCTTGTAAACCCCCGCCCTAAGGAAAAAACAACTACTATTAACTCTATCTACACTTCTCATTATTTTATAAACTTCTATAAGGTCACCCCTCAACCTCCTACACACGTCTATTTATAACTCAACCCTTCCATTCCCGGCAACATCCTGGTAAATCTCTTCCGAACCCCCTCCAGTTTAATTTGACCAAACAGGTGGATGAGGGTAAAGCGGTTGATGTGGTGTATATGGATTTCAGTAAAGCGTTTGATAAAGTTCCCCATGGTAGGCTATTGCAGAAAATACGGAGACATGGGATTGAGGGTGACTTAGCGGTTTGGATCAGAGGGTGGTGGTTGATGGGAAATGTTCATCCTGGAGTTCAGTTACTAGTGGTGTACCGCAAGGATCTGTTTTGGGGCCACTGCTGTTTGTCATTTTTATAAATGACCTGGATGAGGGCGTAGAAGGATGGGTTAGTAAATTTGTGGATGACACCAAAGTCACTGGAGTTGTGGATAGTGCGGAAGGATGTTGCAGGTTACAGAGGGACATAGGTAAGCTGCAGAGCTGGGCTGAGAGGTGGCAAATGGAGTTTAATGTGGAAAAGTGTGAGGTGATTCACTTTGGAAGGAGTAACAGGAATAAAGAGTACTGGGCTAATGGTAAGATTCTTGGTAGTGTGGATGAGCAGA